AGTGCAGCATCTCGTTGACGACCATGTGTGCAGGACTAGGCAATGACCACGGTATCCGAGTAAAGTGATGAACATTTCGGGGGCGTCCGTTACCGGCCAACTCAAGTGCTGACGCCTGTTTGACGTTCTACCATCTTCTACCTCTATTGGATGTTCTGATCCGGTCCATGTTTCGAAGCTCCTGCCTGCCTGCCTTCTCAACTTGGTCAACTACTGTACCCCAAAAATTGAAACCACTAAAGAGCAAAAAGACAAGAAGCCGTTCTTCTTTCCCTTGGAGTCCCTCCACCTTCCCATCAGCCGCTCCGGGCTCCCGTTCTTGAACGAGTCCCGACCAACTCCACGCCGGCTGGCGACCGCTGGCGACCGCTCCATGCCAGACGGTGATCCATGCCGTGAAGCCCGAAGTGGCCATGATCGAGCTGGACGAAGAGCGTTTGGACCGGATGCGCCAGGCGGTTCCACCCAAGTCGTGCTGAGTGCTGAGTGCGTGAGCGGGTGGAAACCTGTCCGGTACACTGACGTGAAGAAAACGAGTTTGGAGGATCCAAAAGAAAACCGCAGAGGTGGAGAGACCCTCGATGTGGTGGATCTCAAGACTTCCTCAAGTGGAAAGGATCCTCACTCCGTCAATCACTCCGTCTCCATCCAGTCGTTGGTAGGGATGGCTGGTCGGTCTCCTCACGGGACGCCGGACGGAGCTTTGATGAGGTTCGCTCGGGGAGGATGAATTCTGGGGTTCGAGCTTTTCGGAAGCATGCAGTGGGTAGATGATGGCAAACAGTAGTTGGTACCAACAGAGGTTAAGTGACCTGAACTAGGACCCTAAGGACCCTAGCAGGGTACCTATGGGATAGTCGAACTAGGGTTCTTCAACAGAGGGTAGATGATGATGCGGTTCAGTCTCCCACTGCGGCCAAGCTCTCACAAAGCCAATTTCATGCTATGTTGGATGCCATGTTTTCGCTTGATTCCGTCTTTTTTCCCTCTTGACCCTTTGTAGACCAATTCAAGCCCAAAATAGCTAAGATCTAGAGCCCAAGAATGGAGACATCTACTCTAAAATTCCAGCGGTCTCGGAGGGGAAAGCTGTTGTTTTGGTTCTTCTTGTTACCCCTTGAGAGTCCCAAAATGACTTCGTTTTACCCCAATGCGCAGCGGATGAAGACTCCCAGACCCTTGCCAGTTCCTGAGTTAAGTCATGGAAGTTCTGATCTCATGATCTCCCTGGGAAGCCGCAAGCGGGTCTCTGCCGGATGGATCAGGTGCCCGCGGAGCAGCTGACGGAGCCGCCGGAGACCGCGCTGCAGCGGGGGCGCCCGACCGGACCCCGCGCCCTGCGTCGGTTGGCAGTGGATTGCCAAAGGGCCCTTTCCATTGCGAAGGGGCGAATGGGTGAATATGTTGAATGGGTGAATCATAGATCATCAAGAGTGAACGCACGAGCCAAAAAAACGGGTGATTCCACTGAAGAAAATCTACACGTTTTGGGCCGATTCATACCTCGAAGCAAAGACCGGGTGTCCCCGGTGAGGGTGAGCCAACGCAGCTGGAGTCCGTCGCAAAGACCAGATGTCTTTAGCAGCCCCTCTTCTTTCAGGGGCTTCTTGTGAGCTTCGTTTGGCTTCACCATAGGCTGATTTCTAGGGCTCTCTTCTGTGGCCAAAAAGGCAAGCGAGAGGGCCTGCCGAGGCGCTCAAGCTCACGCATTCTTCGTGCACGCGGGCAGCGAGCACGACCGCATTCAACTGACCTTGAACAGAAAGTCGTCCCTCCGCTATCGCAATGTAAAGGATCACACCTCACGTCCACCAAAAGCATGATCGCCAGATCTCATCCTGAGTGATGCTGAATCATGAAAAGGCGGGTTCCTTTACTGGCAAGACGAGCCGGCTCGTGAGCCGGCTTGGTCTCAGAAGCACTGGTGGGCAGACTCCGTCTGCAAAACGCGCCCGAAGTCGTCACCAAGGCAAGTGGTCTTCAAAGCTCCGGCACAGCACGAGCACGCGGCGGTGGAGTCGGGGCGCCCGCCACCGATGGCGGAGTCGGGGTGCGAGAAAGACCGAGAGTCGCACGAGAAAAGGATGGAAATTCTTCTTTGGACACCACGGGTGGTCTTTGGACACCATGGATGAGGAATCCTTGGGTGCGGACTGGTGGCTAAATGATTTGACACAGAGGTGAAGAATGACCAAGGAAGTGAAAGGGGAGCCCTTGTAGGGGATCTAGAGCCAACGAGTTTCATGTGGCGTGCTATCATGCAATCTTACGATGTAGGCTGTTGATTCATGAAGCCCCCGATATGAAGACATGCAGCCATCTAGGGGCAAACCGTCTATGTTGACATTGTCAGCTCCAACTTCGGACCCGTTCTTCAGCCTCTTGTACCTCCATCAGTCTCCACTTGGGCTCAGTCCAAGTGTTGCTTTCAATGTGGGTTCTCTTGCTTCTTGGTTTGCCGGTTTGCCCAAGCGGTCCGTTCACAGCTCTTGGTACCTCAAAACCCTAGGGATTTGAGACCCCAGACCCTCCATATGAGGGTCCGACCCCTCCATATGAGGGCTCGTGCTGAGAGGAAAGGGCATTTCGGGTCAAGAGGATGATTCTTAGCAACGCCTGCTCACGTTTCTGCTTTGTTGGACCATATGTGTGCTTGGATATGTTTGGGCTTTCAGGAACTCGATAAGAGATCTCGGTGATTAACTGGTAAACTAACTGGTAAACTCATTTGATTCGATGCCATGACATCCTCGGTGATGAACAAACGGTGGGACATCTTCCACGTCGTCTCCTTGCGTTCGACTCGTTCATGGGTTGGGTTGAAGGGCGGTTGGGCGAGAGCAGAGAGCCTTTGCTGAAACGTCCATCACGACGCACCCGATGTCATAGCAAACATTGTTACTACTAGTAAGGCACCTGTTACTACGAGCGTGGCACTTGTTACTAATAGCTATTTGTTACTACTAGTAAGGCACTTGTTACTACTAGCGTGGCACTTGTTACTAATAGCTATTTGTTACTAC